CAAAACATATGTTTTTACCCTGTATCGAAACACATAATGTCGATAGAATATTTCGTGATGTAATCTTAACACTAATAAGTTGACTTAATAAAAGCACAGTGAACAATATTCCATCATACGACGGACAAAATGTTTGTTTTATTACACCTATTCAACGCAAACATCAAATCTTGGAATGTTGCATTCAATTGTCGGAATTTCCGTAATGAATCCAATGCAATTCAACCAAGTCAAAGAGAATAAATAACATCTGTAAATAGGCAATATTACTGGTTAATAACGCTTTTGATTTACTACTATAAAATTCAAAATTCCTTTGATAACCCCCTGCATTCCTAATTAATCATTTTGTTCGACCATTTTCCACAGAGATGGCGCTGTTCCGCTGGTAGAAAGTGATAAAAATCCCCATATAGAAATTGAGAGAAGTGCGAATAATTCGCCTCCGGTGCATATTCAGGTCAAAAAAAAGTGAACGACAACCTAAAGAAATTAGTCAGGGGCTTTGTCGTTCAGTTTTTTCCCGGAAATTAATGCTCAACAGGCTACAATTGAATAAAAATGATTTTTCCCCATAAAATTTTACCTGCTTTACTACCAGTCCGCAGAGAGCCAACAAAATTCAAATTTGAGAGAGAAAGTCTCTCTCACGAGCTCAATCTCTCAACATGCCATGTATTTTGTTGTCACTCGATTTGTGATTTCCCGTTCACAGATTACAAAATAGAGTACCTGTCACTACAAAACAAGTCTGGTACCACTATATATGCATTTGCTTTAACATTTGAAGTCCCTCCTTTTTTACATGTTCTGTGCAAAAGATACTTTATGCCCCGCCCCATACATAAAATTCGGCGGGAAATTATGTGAGGGGTGAGCTATTTTGTGTGCAGAATGTGTAAAAAAGGAGGGACTTCGAACAATAATCTAAATGCATAATAGAGGTACCAGACATGGTTTGCACTGCAGTCTCCTCTGTGAACAATTATAGGAAAACAGATTGTGCCTAGTTTCCGATAGATGTCACCGCAAACAACAGCTGTGACATCTGATGGAACATGAATGCAGAAGCTTGACAAAATGATCAATTGATAAAAGAAAGGCCGTATCACATTGACAATTTTCAATTCACCTTTTCGCCCACTCTATAACTCTTTACCCTTGTGGTAAAACCCTGTGCATGAAACCTGGTGGACATTTCCTTACCCTTTCACTCCTATGAAGATCGCATAATATACTATCACGCTTTGTGCCAAGAGACGGCGGCTCGCTGGTACCATGGTGGAGCGAAGAGATAAAACAAAGTCCGGTAGATTTCGTGTACATATTTTCACATGTTATGGGATTTTAACATAGGAGTAAAGGGTTGCAGAGACGTCATCAACGTCAATGCTTACTGAGTATGCAACCATATATCTGCTTTTCTTTCATAAGAGCCAATGTCGCAAACGTAAACAATGACTTTTTCTGCGAATTTCTCGAGAATGGAAATTAGATTCAAAGCCTCGTATCCTTTTTTTGCCTCATGATTCCAAAACTGTCAAAAGGAAAGGCATTTCCCAATTTATACTCTCAGGTATACTACTAATTTTTCTCTACCCGTATTTTATTAGGTAGACAGATTTTAAATCTATTATTATACCTAACGGCACCTTCCACTACTGTCACTAGATGCGAAAGGTACCTAGGTGACTGGTTTAATCATATAAATAGCTGTATTTGGTTTTGTGACCATCATTCTAAGCTAGTCTTCTTCCTCGTATGGAAGTGTCTTATATTGTCTCAGTCTCTCTCATAAATATTGCTATTCTGAATTTTCTATTAAATTTGTGAACACATTATGAACTCTAAAAAATTAAATAAGTTCAAAACATATTTCAGACATACTCTGTTCCTCGAATTTTTCTAAAAATCTGAGAGACCCGGACAACGTTCGCATTCGCGGAGATAACAATGTTTAGTTAAGCTGCATAATATTTCTTCAAAATAATGGTTGAAATCTTTTTCGAATGAATATTTTCTAAGACAATGAAGCATTAAATTAATATTTTCATGGACGGTACAAACACAAATATTGTGAGAACCTGAACTACCAAGTAATTTGCAATGCTTTGGTTTTAGTGCTGCAAATGAACTAAATCCAATGCTATTTTTACTAACTTCTTGAAATTTAATAAAAGCTTCTCGCAATGTACAAACTAAAAGTCGCTTTTAAATATGAATGGTAAAGGTAAGAAGACCTTCCTTCTTAACTGAAACGTAACCGTTTAGTCCTGGCGTGGCTCTGCTTATCTGGTCGCTTTCGAAGAACAACAATACCTCGCTTTTAATTTCGGGATCCAAACCGTGTCCTAACCTTTCGTTGGGGGTGGCCAATACTCCTTTCCCGTTTGCCAAGCATCGAGCTTGCAATACAATGTATTTATTTGTCCATTACCGTTTGCGTTGACCAAGATTTCGGCAAAATCGTCAGAATCCTTATTTGATCGTCTCTCGATGAACCTGGATCAGCAAATCTCTCCTTCAGTTGTCCGATCATCTCATTGTGTTCCGCAGCTTTCAATTTAAATTGCTCCAGGTAATCTTCTTCCGCTTTAAATCCGAAGATGCGTTTCTTAATGCCATTGGTAATGTCCATATACTTTCTCCGGGGATAGTTAACATTCTGGAATTTTTTTTGTCGATATTGGCGATACGTTGATACCAGCTATGCCCTTGTATATATGTTAGCTCAATATTATGCGTCCTGGAAAATTGTTGCTCTCCATTATCCTGAGATGATGTTGTTGTTGTTGACGTAGTTGATGGTATTTCTTCGAGGCCATGTCGAGATGTAGATGGCTGTGGCTCCGCGATGTCCATGACTGACGGTTGCACTTCTAGTTCCAGATTTTCAGCACATGGTTCGATTCTATTTAAATTCAAGCGACACGTATCACATATTGATAGAGATGCATCCAAATTAAATTTCCACTCTAGGAACTTATGTTTTTCAATCAAATTTCCGGATGATTTACGAAGCTTTGACGAACACCGTTTATTAGGAACCGGCTTGCAACACTCGACCTTCTTGAATTCCGTATGCAAATTGTACTTGTTCACTCAAAAAGATTTTTTTAGTGATGTCTGTTTTCAAAAGGATGGTCATGCTTATATACAAACGTAGGTAGCATTTGGATATTCAGGTATAAATATTGTTTTGGTATTGAAGCTACTCTAACAGAGAAGCTCTTTTTTTCATGAAAAATACCATGGAAGACATTATAATGTACCAAAAATAATAAGATGGATAGGTACATCAATATTAACAAATTAAATAGGATGAAACTACACTTGATAATGAAAATAAGTGCAACTTAACTTGTGTTGCTTTCTACATTTAAAGTAATAGTGTTTTCATTTCCCCTGTAAATTCTAAACGGGTTGTCTGATCGTTCAATCGTCAAAAGACACATTGAAGGTAAATATATGTGTATCTTGCTAAATTTATCAATGCTGATGGAGAATCACGATTAACTTATGAAAATGGATTATTTTCTACAAAAAATTGATTTTGATAAAAGTAAATTTGAAATATCTCGAAAACGGTTATATTTAAGAAGTTTATCGATATGAGCACTATCGTTTGAAATGATTTTTATAATCATATACTAACATCAAACTGAACATTTTGCCGTAAATAATGAAATTTTCAAAAATGCCTCAAAAGTTGCTCTTAGAAAAACTTTTTTATTGAAAGTTTGTCCATCCTAGAGTTGTTTTAAAAACTTCTGCTTTCTATTCAAGTTTTTATAAAAAAAATATAAAAAAATCAAAAATAAGTTTTTTTGTTATTTGAAAAAAAAAAACGAAAAAAAAATACCGTGTATATTTTTTTTATAAAGCCTTATTAGTTTCCTACAACTCCTTCTTAGTAAATTTTTTCTACAACCAACTGTTTTCGAACATGGATGCAATCCCTCATCAGATAGTTTCGAAATCTTCGTAGTGCATCCTATCAAATCCAAATGACGCTGTTCCACTAACGTTTACTCAACGCTGATCGCACAAAATCCACATTAAATCCCTGATCCCAGCATTGCATTAAAAAATGTCACATTTGTCAACAGTTTGCTTTTAATTAATTCAGTCACTGGAACCAAGGAGCACTCTTCCTTTATCTCCACTGTTCTTAATATCTAATACACGATTTAAGCGTACTACGACATCGTACCTAGTGTCGCCGCTATCGTCATTTGCACAAAACTTCCCGTCTGGCTCAAGGCCCCGGAAAAGTCTTCAAATGACGTTTCAAGCAAGTTCAAAGAAGAAAAGCATAATCCATGCCTAGAGTGGCGTGAAAAATTACTGCCTCGAAAGTTTTACCGGAGCATTTTCACGCTAGCTTCTCTCGTTGATTCTGATTGGCTTCGTTCTTGGCAGCCTACCATACGCCAACTGCGAGCAGCATTCTGATGTCAACTGGCGGAGATCACGAGCTGCGTTAAATCTTAATTAAAGTCCCGGGTAGATATTTGTTTTTAATTAAACTTAGGAAATTAATTGCCATTGATGGTGTGGTGGCTGTGACGTGGAAACACTGCCATTCGATTTGATTATCAGTCCCTACAACGTGAATGTCGCTGTTGTAAGGGGAATTTTAAATTTTGTATCGATTTTAAAATAGGGTAAATGATCTAGCAATGTTCATTCGTTCCTATTCCCATTTTCAACAACTATAACACACCATAATAGGATCGTATAGCCACAACTGGTTCATCTACAAACCATCATCCTCATTGTGGGACGCCCAAATTCAATACAATTTTGATTTATGTTTAAAGTAGTAGCAAAAAGGCGCATCTTCAAATTTCCTGTTAATTGAGCACAGCCAGCGGTTGAATGAAACCTCTTCCGAAACATTGAGCGATGGATGATTTTAACAACCACTCTCAATACATCCCAAACCCAATAGTGGCATGAAAAAGAAGTTATTTACCAATTGCATCGCATGTACTCACCGGTCGCTTTATGATGGTTGAAATGCAAATTTGCTAGCAAAAACAAACTACTGATGATTGCACTCTGCATTTTCCTGTTTTCTATTTAATTGGATTTGCACGTTTCGATGGATCTGATAGTGGGAAGCATTTTCTTCTTTTTGTTTTTGTTTTTTTTTCTGTCAGTTGATTCTCGATGGAAAATTGTACTGCGGGTTGGTTGTACTGCAGGTGCTTAGTTTATGATTCACCACTTATGTCCTGGAATTGAAATGGAAGAGAAAATCTGGATTATTTATGTGATCCTCATTATATTGAATTTACCATGAAAGTAGTGTTACACACTTAATCTAGCTCGATAAAATCTCCAACAGCCGATTACCTCGGTATTTACTTTTTCTGATAGATCTGCAAAATATCTGTTTGTTAGCTGATATCTCATCAAAATAATATTTGTTAGCTGAGTCTCGGCAATTGTTTTACTGAATCTCAGCAAAATTAATTGCAGAACTACTCGGCTGTTGGAACTTCGGCGAAAAAATGTAAGTGTGTAGAACTTTTCTTTTAGCAGTTAGACGTTTGGTGTCTGCGGTGAAGTGGATCACATCATTTGAGCAGTTTAAAATGACGTTTCCTACCACTCGAACTGTGCCGTGGAACAATATTCAAAAATTATATTTATCTTCTTTCCTTTATTTAATGTCGGTCTCTGTTCCGCAATCTAGTGCCAATCGCCGGCGGACATCCATTGACGGCAATCAAATGTGCAGGAAGGCAGCTTCCACACTTGCGTAGGATATCGCATCCATTCAACAACACACATGGGACGGGACCAGAAATGTTTATGCCTCATAAAATTCCCACCGACCTCGGCTGGATTTGAACGCAGACCCATTGGGGTGATAAAGCAGTTACGCTTATCGGTACACCAAAGTTCAAACGGCGAAAAACGTGATCGTGTGAGATTACGCAAAATCCATTGACTTTAGGTACATAGTGTCGTCAAAGAAGTTTTAAGGCATAATTGGCGCCATCTTTTGACATTAGCCATTTTGTGATCAATCCCCCTAAAAGTGGGATCCAACACTCATTTTTTTATAAAGTTGAGATAGAAGGTTTGTGTATTCAGCAAAGTTGTAGATTATGTAAATACAAACAACTTTGCTCAAGACATGAACCTTCTATCTTTTTGCTCAATTGATCTATAAAGCGTTTTTTGTGGACGTGCCCCTTAAGGGGGTATTCCCAATCTTTTGCCTTTTTTCGGCCTGTTTTTCAATTAATTTTTTTTCAAGGAAAATGAATAGTAATGCGCCTAACTCTTTGGGATTCTTGTTTATTGAACATTAAAGTTTACAAATAAATTTTTTTCGACATAAAAAAAAGACATTATTGACGTCACAAAATGGCGGCAAACAGACCCCTGTTCGCCGCAAACGCCTGGACGGGCGAAGACTTTTCTCTGGAACGGCTTCATCTGAAACAGATTTCGTGATGAAATTAATAATCTGCATAAGATTCTCTGGAGCTTCTCCCGTTGGCAGCAAAAAATCTTGCAAATTAACAAAATGGCGGCCATATGAAAAAACAGGCGATTTTTAGCCCGCTTTTTTGCAGCTTTGAGGTGCTTCAAACAATGTTAAATGTTAATATTTTTGGCTGAAAGTGGGAGAAACTTTATAAAAAAATTAATTTTGGATCCCACTTTTAGGGGGATTGATCACAAAATGGCTACCGTCAAAAGATGGCGCCAATTATGCCTTAAAACTTCTCTCAAGACACTATATACCTAAAGTCAAAGGATTTTGCGTAATCTCACACGATCACGTTTTTCGCCGTTTGGGCCACTGTGCACCGGCGCCGGTAAAATTATATTTATACTATGCTTGAATCATGAATTTATTGCTTCATTTTAAGTATAAAGTCGTCTTAAAACTGCTCAACAATATGATTAATTTTGTGCTTAAAATGTTCTTTCTTCTGGTGATTGTCAACATAATGGTGGTCTGCAAATTAATCAATATTCAAAAACTAACATTCCTTTTTTCGAAAATATAGGCACCTATTCTCGAGCAATGTTGTAATCGAGTTAATTTCAAGCAATTTTGTTGAAGAAACATGTCATCTCTTTACGATTTAATGCTCTAAATATTTTGTTTCTGATTTCTCGTGGAAGCCACCTTTATGTACGGGTTAGTAAAACGGGGTGATTTTTTAGTTTCAATTTTAGTTTCTCAACAATCCTTCTTCATGATATCGATAAGAGACAATTTGTTCAGGATTTCAATGAGTAGTTTTAAGCAACTCACTTGCTATAAAAAACAATGATTTATTTTTAGTATTTTGAAATCATTATATGTTATAACGATAGTTTGTAATTGTTAGATACCAGAAGTGGTTGAAAGGCAACTGTTTGACACGAAAACGGCTCATCTATTCGAAATGATTGACTTTTCAGAAAAAAAAAACAAATTGTCATAAAAATTAAAAAAAAAACTGTTAAAAACTTAAACAATAAAACAAATAAATTCTAGAGATATTTAATGCTTATCTGAGCGCTTATCAAAACTGATATTTTTTTCTGAAAGGGATGCAACGGACATTTAAACATGGACCAACGTCGTGGAACATCGAATATAAGTGCACATTTTGAACATTGTTTAACTTTTTTTTACCAGAAAACCGTGATTCTATGTACAAATCACAGACAAATTGCAAAAGTTTAACCATTTGACTAAAAGTGTATGCTCAACGATTTTGAACAATTTTAAATTGACCATTGTATCAGTTTCTGATACCTATAATTTTTAATAAACTTTTAAATAAACACAAATTTAAAAATTATTAAGATGCGCTTTTGGGTCATTCGTGACCTATCCGGGATGTACTAAGAGATGATCTAGCCATATGGCTAAAATTCTCTATAATAAAGAGAAAAAAAAAACCTATCCGGAATGAGATATGAACTTAGGACTTTGGCATGAGGGGTTTGGATTCTAATCACTACGCCGGAATCGCCCCCGCACTTTTTTGTTATTGAAGTTTAAAATAGTTTTTTTTATTTTTTTAATGAAATTTTGTATTTTTTTTTTCAGTGTGCATTTTTTTTTCAGTGTGCATTTTTTTTTTCGAAAAGGCAATCCAGTTTCAAAAAACATTGTTTCGGACGTCATGTCAATTAGACTCTCCCTTAACATGAATACCGATATGCTTCAAACTAACTCCATGTTTGATGCTATACAAACTGGAGTAAAATTTGCGAACAATATTGTCATGACTTCAGAAATGGATTTTAAATCATTAAATATTTTAAATTGTAATGCTAGATCTCTTAAAGATAATGAAGACAATATATGTAACTTTTTGAGAGTCCATAACCTTGCCGTTATAACTGAAACGTTCCTTAAACCTGACCATAAGGTTAAGAGGGACGGAAATTATTTCATTTATAGAAATGATCGTCTTGATGATGGAGCCGGAGCCTGTGGTGGCGTTGCCATCAATTTTCATAGACAATTTAAACATTAAATTCTACCTTCATTTGAAACCAAAGTTGTTGAAACATTGGGAGTTTCTGACTTTGGTTCTGATCACCTTTCAGTAACATTTGAAATATCCCAAGAAATAATTTGTAATCCCAACACCTCTACTTTCAATTACCATAGAGCTGATTGGAGCATTTATGGAATATAACTTCGATCCAAACATTCCTTTGCAAACCAAAGATGAAATTAATTATGCTCTTGAATCTCTGACTACTTCTATAGTTGAAGCAAGAGCTGCTTCAGTTCCAAAATGCGAGGTTAAATTCGATTTAATTATAATAGACGACGATCTTCAGCTCTTGATCCGTCTTAAAAATGTCTATAGGAGACAATATCAAAGAACACGCGATCCTGCCATCAAAGCTATCTGGCGGGATTTGCAAAAAACAAATTTGGAAAAGCTCAGAAACTTGCTAAGCAATTCGAGAGTTCCCATAATTTCAGTTTGGGTCTTACTAGTCCTATTGAGAATCAGGTTGCTCGGGATTATCTGAATTGTCTCTCTCGGAAAAATATTTTTGATGATTCCCGGGGGACTGATTTGGATGAAGTAAGATCTTTAACTAAAAAGTTCCATAATATGAAATCACCAGGTGATGATGAAATTTTCTATATCCGCATCAAAAGATTCGCAGAGCGCACCTTGTCTTTCTTGGTACAATTATTTTAGGAATGTTTCCATTTGGCATACTTTCTTGATAAATGGAAAAAAGCTAAAGTTGTTCCAATTTTTAAGCCGGATAAAAATCCTGCTGAAGCTTCTAGCTACCGTCCAATAAGTTTGCTTTCTTCAATAAGTAAACTTTTTGAAAAGATAATTTTGAATGGAATGATGCTTCACATTAATACGAACTTAATTTTTGCAGATGAGCAGTTTGGATTTCGCCATGGGCATTCAACTGCTCATCAACTCTTATTACAAATTTAATTCGGTCAAACAAACCTGAAGGCTACGCAACTGGAGTTGCTCTTCTAGACATAGAAAAAGCATTCGAAAGTGTTTGGCATGGAGGTTTGATTGCTAGATTGAAAAAGTTTAATTTTGCACTTTATATTATGAAATTAGTTCAAAATTATTTAACTGACAGAACTCTACAGGTAAATTATCAAAATTCCAAATCCGAAAGACTACCTGTTAGAGCTGGAGTTCCTCAGAGTAGCATTCTTGGGCCTATATTGTATAACATTTTCACTTCGGACCTCCCTGATTTGCCTCAGGGTTGCCGCAAATCTTTGTTCGCTGATGATACAGGCATTTTAGCTAAAACAAGAAGTCTTCGTGTTATTTACAGCAGACTGCAGAAAAGTTTAGATATTTTCTCTTCTTATTTACAAAAATGGAAGATTTCTCCCAACGCTTCCAAAATTCAACTTATAATATTTCTACATAAGCATAGAGCTTCTTTTTTGAAACCTAGTAGTAGTCACATAGTCACTATGAACGGAGTTCTAATTTCCTGGTCAAACCAAGTGAAATATCTTGGGTTAGAACTTGATCAAAAATTAAATTTTAAAGATCACATTGAGGGCATTCAAGTTAAATGTTACATACCTATCTATAAAAAGTTTTTTTTTAACAGGAAATCCAAACTTTGCCTGTCGAATAAACTTCTAATATTTAAACATTTTTTAGACCAGCCATGCTTTAAGCTGTGCCAATATGGTCTCGTTGTTGCCCTACCAACGACCCCGGCGTAGTGGTTAACATCCATACCT